AAATGATTTCTAAACGGGTTTATTAAGCTGAAAAAGTTGCCAAGTTCCCCTTTAAATAAAACTGTTTGGTGTACATACAATACAGCTCGATATCTGGACACAACCTCAATACAGGCAGCATAAATGCATGTTTAAGCAGGTCTACAGTCGACTCTGTTCTATACATCACTCTCCTGCTGTCAGTCAGTGTGAGACTGTACTGGAGGGAGGAGAGGGAGAGACAGAAGGAGGTGAAAGAGAGGAAACACAGGAGGAGGAGGAGGAGGAGGAGGGGGTTAGGAAGGAAGGAAGGCGTGAGGATGCGGAGAGAAATAGTTTTGGGGTCCATCACAATTGCACATGAGCCGTTCCCGCAGTAACACGGTCACCATGGAGATCACACAATACTACCGTGGTCTTGCACGCTCGCACTAAGAGTGGGGGTTAGTTGCCATGACAGCGAGGTCAGTGGGTAGAGGTTCGGGGGGTTGCTGGGGTAAAGCTGGCATACGGATGATTCAATCCCCCCGAAATTCCTGTCAGGCCTCTTCAGTTTGCATTCCTTTAGATTCAGACCTTATTTCACTGAGATACAGCAAAGCCCCTCCACTCAATATAACTTACCATCATTAATATCTTTATCTTTATATGACATGGTTATGTGTGTATGTATCTTGTATGATACTACCATCAGTACAGGCCAGGACTTTAATTTGTGAGAAAATAAATACGTGTTAAAACCTCCAGATGAAAGAAGACTGAACGTTCGGCCCGGCACTTCAAACACGTTCGCTTGGCTTTACATAATCGAAGTCCAAGCGCCCTTCAGACACACTTTATCCTCTGCCATTAAAGTAAACTCGCTCATCTGGCAACTAACGCTGCAATTATTGTTTTATAAACGCGATAAATTATAATCACAAGAAGGAACATTGATCATAAAGGCACAACTGCTGCAGACTGTTTTAGAAAAGGCTACAAAATGGATTTCTGTTCGATCTTTGCTCCCAGCTTAGATCATATTAGCGACTGCCACACCCAGTTCACGCCTTTGACTCAAACCCTCTAGTGATCACAAATGTTTCAGCCATCGACAACAAAAGCCCATAACATCCTCCCACACATACCGCTGCAGGCAACAATTACACTGCCTCTTTTGAATTTGTAAGTCTAAATATTAAATCACCCCCTCTGCTCTGAGTCTCAGGGGATCAGCAGAACTGAACTAATAAACCCGGTACGAATAAAGACCCGACAGCTGTGTGAGTGAGTTAAAAGAGTCTTTCAACCAAAGACTTGTGACAGCTGTTTGCTTCCTACAGGACCAGTGTAAGCACATATGTGGTCATTAGTCTTGATGAACGCATGGAGATGAAAGCAGGGTGAAAATGTGCGTATAGAAAAGAGAGAGAGAGAGAGAAAGTATGTCTGTGCCTGACAGCTGTCTCTGGACTCTGAATGTGTTTAATCACAGGCATGCTGACGAGCCGAGTCATCACGCAGCCCTGTGTGTGCGTGTACCTTGGTGCCGCTGTAGAAGTCGTCCTGAATGCTGGCGTTCATGAAAGTCTCCTGCAGATGCACACTGGTGTCTATTCCGCCCGGCAACACCAGCTTTCCGGAGGCGTCAATCACCTTAGCGCCGCCTGGAATCATCAGCTCCTTTCCAACCTGAAACCAGAGTGAAATACCTCAACAGCTGTTTGACAGGTTGATATGAACTGTTACAGACACTCTGACTCCTTTAGTGCCACAAACAGGTCAAAATGTTCACTTATCAAGTGAAATATCTCAATATATACTTGATTAGTGCAAAATGTAGTACAGGCATTGATGATTCCAAATCTAAATGACTTTGTTGATACCCTGAACTCAGATCTAGTGTCTCCACCAGCTCCACATTTTAATTTGTCCTGTGTGTTTACGACCTGAACTAATGACGTTCAGCTCTAATTTGTGTTTGGTAAGCAGTATACCTGCATGTTGTCACTGTGTGCATGTGAGCAGGCCACACACAGAGCCGCTATCATGGCTGTAAACTGTTGATCTTGTATCAGGTGACCACCCTGATTCATCACCTGTCTAAATCTATTTTTAACTGTAAAGTTTAAGTTAACAGCTGTTAACAGGATGTGGCTCCTCCTACAAGCTTCAGTAGTGATCGTTCACTGTGAAGTTGACAAAGACATGAGCACATAAAGTCACTGCTGAGTGATCAAGGAGCTCTGTTGTGTATTAACACCGTAATATTAATATTAATATCATTTAATATAAATATTTAAAAACTAAGGAACCAGACCTTGTTAAGTGGCACCCACTAACACAATCCTACTAATCCTGATCCTGTAATATGTGCTGCCATAGCAGTGGAGTGATTCAGTACGAGTACAGCTGAGCTTTCCAGGTTTCTGAGTCAAACGCATCCTCTTCACATAAACCGATGTGCTTATTTCCATGACAACGTTCTGTGAGCTAATAATAGCGTTCACTACCATCAGGCCGAGCCACAGAGTTCACTGAGGGGTTCCTTCTCTTCATGCTGTATTTTTGGTAAATGACTCACACAACAGCTGGGGACACACTGTACAGTGTGTGTGTGTGTGTGAGAGTGTGTGTGTGTGAGAGTGTGTGAGTGTGTGTGTGTGTGTGTGTGTGTGTGTGTGTGTGTGTGGGCGTGTCCATCTGTTTACCTGAGCAGATCAAACCTGTTCAACAGATACTTCCTGTTAAAATCACACTGCAGAGTGTGATTTTAACAGGTGGAGTGTTTCCCTTTAAAAGGTTCGATGTGACCTATTAAACTTTAATGCAGCAGCAAACAGCTGTTAGTTCACTATATAGTGGAGTCATGGTGTCCAGCAGAGAATGACGTCACACTCACTCTGCCTCTTCGCAGCCTCGCTGGGTGGTAAATCAGTGTTTGTGTCTCCTGGAGTCTGTGCGTGGAGTGAATAGTGAATTACGGCTGTTTGTGGTTAAACTAAAGGTCTATTTCTGATAGGGATCCTTTCATAATGCTGTCAGTACACTGACAATAACACTGTTGTTGTTGTGTTACCAGAGTCGGACTCGGCACTGCCGGAGCGTTGCTCGGTCCAGTTCAGAGCGTCAGCCGTGGTGCCGTCTCCTGCAGATCGTCTGGACTTTCTGTCGCTCCTCTGACTTTTCAGCAGCTCCAACTCTGAGCTCAGCTCATCATTTCTGTCCCGCAGCTCCTGAACGCATCACACACACACACAGATCAGATTTTATGGAGATAATATTCCTGGTTTTCCCTCTGAGAGTTTCCTGATACAAACATTATAAAATATATTCACTGACAACCTTTTTAACCACAAGAGACTAAACCTAAATAAAACTAACCTTTAAAAACAAATAGTGTAACACTGCAGTTCCTTTAACAGCCACTGGTGTCACTGTTAACAGTTTAATGACTCCAGCAGTATTATTCAGCTACCAGCAAACTGATTTGTGTGTTTTGTTGTTCTCACCTTGACTTTCTGTTGAGCCAACGAGGCGTTCAGGTGCACAAACAAAAACAGACATTAAAACACTGAACATGCTTGTGTTGCTACCTACATGGAGCTGACTGGATTCATACTGAGGAGATCTAAAGTCCTCGAACAGACTGAAAGCTCAAAGGTCGCTCTTAGTTTTATAATCTTTGGACAACTCAAACAACATGAAGGTTCATTATAGTTCAGTTCTTTAAAAAGGACATAAATAAAGAATAAATAAAGAAATAAAGAACTAACTGTACAAGAGTCAAAG